CGCGAGAGGTTTGGCGCCGCCAAGTGGACAGCCTCGTCCACATAACAGGTTCCCGTGGCCGGAAAAAAAACCGCTCCGATGTCCGTGGTCACCTGTGGAAATTGACAACGATTCCCAACCGGCCGTAGGAGATGAGACGGAGTACCGAGTGCACTTAGCACGCCGCAATAATGACGACCACTCCGGGCAATAATAGGCACGAAAAATTGCTCTTTCACTTTTGACAAGTTCTAACGTAATGTTGGCACCTAAAATTCTAAAACCTACGAAACTCCTAAAAATGGAAGAATCGAGAGCATTTAACGGAAGGACAACGTTTAGGAAGTAAAATTGGAATGGAATCACACTTTACATACTACTGTTGTGTTCCCGTGTTCCCCGCAACCAGCTAGCGTAGCAATCAGTCTATTTTCTTAAAAGAGTATCATGGCAGATATTTCTTGAGCTAAACATAACCTAGATCCTTAGGACAAGTATGTTACTACCAGTAAATGAGAAGCACAAGGAAAAAGGGCTCTTTTTCTGAAATTAGTGCAGAAGTATTCTACAAGCTCCAAATGAGACTGCAACATTTAATGGAAATGCCTTCCTACCAAATCCGATTTTCTCAGTATAGCTAGACATCCACATTTTGGCGCGCTATTATATCTTCTGGGAGGAGTTCCATAGCTCTTTAAGTCGGAAATTGATTTGAAGCCTCTGAGAGCTGTCATATCTTCATGGATAAGCGATGGCTGGACAACATAAATGCGAACGGTTATGAGACGATCAAATGAGTCTGTGATAAAACTGGACTTAAGCGACATCATATCATCATGAGCTGATTAAGCCATAGCTGCACCATTATGAGTAAAATTTTATGTGTAATCGATACATGAAAGTAGTTTAGTGAACAAGTGATCGTCAGCGGCGGCTCTATTTCTTTGAAGACTTGCTTGTAGAAAAAAACTTCGAATCAGAGAGCAACCACTTAACCGAATGATCATACAGTGTCGACTCGACCCACAACAGCTTGGAATCGGAAGAAGCGTTCTCTAGAAGCCATCCAATTCATGTTGTTACTAAGGGTTGTTCGAGTGAAGAGGAATTTCGGAATCACATTAAATGAGGACCTATTAGCTCTGAGAAATCTAATGAATTAGTGGGATTAGTAAATGAGCTTGCAAGCAACGATAAGAACATGGAGCTTGTTATGGTTTTACTGTCCTTTGTTTCTCGCTAATAAAAGATACTTTAGCAAGTATAAAATACCTATGGATTAAGTCTGTTAACATTTCAACGAAAGAATCGTTTACAGAAATAAGGAAGTTGCAATGGTACTTTTATGTTTGTCCATTATCCACACCCAATCGCCAGTAATCGAAGCGAACACACTTCAGTGAGCTGAGAAGTGATGCACTCGATGAATACGTTACGAGAACTACCATGCGTTCCTCGTGAAATTGCAACAAGGGATAAAAAGCCGAACGTAAGGAACTTCTAGGCCTATATTTTCATACGAAAAAAGGATAAAAAAGTACAGAGTTACAGTGTTCACAATGAACAGGAGGGATGAATGCCCAGAGGTCATACGCGACCTGACCCCGTATGTTCGCATCGATTTCGATGTGGGATGGTGCAGTCGTCAACCACATGCGACTATAATCAGCTGTTCTAAACTTCCTCATTGGAAGTCACGAAAAAGCGGTGGGTTTTTCGAGAAGTGTCATGTAATTACCGGAGAGTTCTTCGTCTTTTTGTAAGTGTCATTGAAGCGTTTGGCCTAGTAGATTGTATATCAGCATACCATGTAATTACCATAGAGTTTTTCGTCTTTTTGTAAGTGTTCTCGAAGCGTTTGGCCTAGCAGATTGTATATCAGCATACCCTTCCAGACTCTGAAGAAGGCGATACTGCCGAAAGGTCAGGTAGCGTTGTATTGTATTGTGTTTCTCTATGGAAGTAAATGTATGCTGTTTAACAACCTCGCGATTGCTGAACAGGAAAACGACACAGTGCTCACTTTGTTATTTAATGCTCATTACAACTTTCCACTATAGGGTATTATATGTGATACAACCCCAATTATGCTGAGATATCTACTCCGGACTGCAGGTGTCTGGCCAGTGGGAGACGAACGCTTTATTATCCTATACGGAGGATAACGCGCTTACCACCGTACCACGTGGGTTCGTTTCGCCTTTCTCTCAGTTAGTTTTTATGCACCAGTGTCATCAGCAATCATCCATCAATGAGATTGATCTGAGGAATCCAAACCGGCAATGAAACCAGTTAAGCTGAGGCTTCATTCGAAATCATAATGTTCACTTTCTTATTTACTGCTTTTTACAATTTTTCACGGCAGAGTATTATGTGTGAGACAGTCACAATGATGCTGAAATATTTGTAAAACTCAGCCTCAGCTTAACTGGGTTCATTGCAGATTTGAGCTTCCCAGATTAATCCCGTTGATGGGTGATTGCTGATGGCACTGGTAGTTAGGAAACCAACGGAGACAAAGGCGAAACGAAGGACCGGTATGGTGTGGTGGTTAACGCGTTAGCTCCCGGATAGTGTTATAACACCTTCGTTCCCCGATGTAGACACCTATGGTCCGAAGTTGTAACCCCGGAAATGAATATAGGAAAATGTGATACATGCATCTCTCTGCCCATCTACTTATTGGTTAATGATACTCACTCCGTGTTAAGGTGTCCCAAAATATTATAAGACAAAAGGGTAATAGGGCATTCGTATCCCGATGTAGACACCTATGGCCCGGAGTTTTGCAAATATCTGAACATCTTTCTCGTACAGAGTTGATTCCATTTAAGAAAGTTTAGTAAATCATTTTTAATTACTGATTAACAGCAAGGAAGTTTCTCTTATAAAAACGTGATTCGGAAAAGAAACGCTTTGCGCTATCGCTTCGAATGTTTGTATACCATAGAGGTTCTATGATCGATCAATCGGCAAACTTAATGTCTTGACCGTGCCGTTAACTAGCAATTTAGGTTTTAGCCTTGCATGCTATGTCAACAATTTTAGCTGATAACTGAAAAACATTGCCGCTCCCATCATCAACTTTTTCCTAATTACCGTTTATGATATGTGTGCGGCATAACGAATGCTTGCACCGTTGGTTACCTGGTAACAGCTAGTGGTGAGATTCCAAGCAGGCAAGACGGAAGTAAATCTAAGAACTCATGTTAACATTTCTTTAAACGAAGATCACTTTTTCTTTCTCTCTCTCTCTCTCTCTCTCTCTCTCCATTTCTTATCTAAAGAACACACACGGTATGAATCTATTTGAAGGAACCAAAAGCTAAATACTGGCCATGGTAAATATGTCACCGACTTATCGTTTGAAAATTGAAAAAAGATTGGATAAATCATTTACAACGAGTCTGAAGTGTTCTAGCATTTAATTAGTTGAACCGCGGTGTAGGAAATATTCACGCATAAGAATTCGAATAGTAGCATTACGTGAGGGAATTACATGACAAATATTGGATTCTCTCATCTCATAGAGGTCATGGACGTCGAAATGTCGAAGAACTTCAATGATAATGTCTTAAGAACGTCTGACAATCGCAAACACGTCCAATCTCACACAGACTTTCTCGCCAACGCAAAGTCTCTTGAATTTAACACTAAGCTTCAAGGAATTTGTTCTCGAAAAATCGAGATCAGAAATGCCAATCTGAAACGAAACCTAAGTAATTCGAGACGAAGAAAACAAAATTCGGTGAAATATGACAATAATGATGCTGAGATAATCGCAAAACTCCGGAGTGTGGATGTCTGTCGTGGCGAATGAGTGCGTTATTACCCTCTCCGGGGTCGAAGGCGTTCGCCACTATACCATGCGGGTCCTTCGTTCCGTCTTTCTGTCAGCCGTGTTATTGACCTATAGGTGCTCTCAGTAATCACCCGTCGACGGGATTAATCTGTGGGGCACAAATCGCCATTGAACCCAGTTAGTCTGAATCTGTGGCACAAATCACATTAAAAAAAGAGTAGGCAGTAAATAAAAATTGACGACAAAGTTCAGCATTGACTTTGAAAAACAGCCTATTAAAATAAGCATATTTTGCAGACATCGAAGCATAGTGGGGTGTGTGTAGCGCAGTGGTTAGAGAAGCCCTGCAATAAGCATGGGATCGACCTCGCATCTCAGGCTCATCAAGCCTTCCTTCCCTCCGAGGTCGGAAAATTGGCACCAAACTTGTCTTCTAGGAGAGCAACACTAACATCGACATATTGAGAAGCGCCTCGAGTCTTTTATAAGCCAGATATATAAGATTTATATAGGCGTTCAATCACCCTCTAACGATACTTGCACAACGCATCCCTCAAGGATTGATCAGTGCGAGGAGCTTTATCCTTCTGTCCTTTTTATCCCTTTAGCAGCATATTGCTTAGCGATTCCTTGCGACAAAAACGTGGTGTTTGGCTCGATTCTAAGTTTCGCATAAGCGAAATTTCCCATATCTCTGGGCTGCCCAAGTTGGTACCAGACTTCTTCGGAGAGATGAAAATACTGACTTGATGCATCGGTAGACTTCCGCAAAGTCGTTTTATAGGCGACACATGCCTGTACGATGCAATGAATGGATGCGAACGTAGGGCGCATTATTTACGGACTGGTCAACACACAATGCCGAACTCTGATGCTTTAATAATGCCGAGACATTGGCAAAACTCCGAACTGCAGGTGTCTGCGGTGGGGAACGAACGCGCTATTACGCTTTCCGGAACTCGTTGCTCCCCGGAAAGGACAACAATAGCGTGTTCGTTTCCCACCGCAGACGCCTGCGGTCCGGAGTTTTGCCAGTATCTCAGCATCATTGAAGTTATATTTCGCAATATACCCTGCCATTAAAAAGGGTAGGCAGTAAATAAAACGGTTAAGATTCTCATGCTTTACTTTATAAACTTTGGAAAACTAGTTTACCAGCCTCTACTAGCGCTCATATCTAGTTATCCCTTTTATTGTGCGTGTAACTTCTAGTGTTAACATGTCACTGAATATTATGGACAAGATGACAGATGTCTGGGATCCTAATGAGTTTATCACATACAATGCGACAACTGCTCCTACAGATACTGGTCATCAAGCTCTTGAAGCCGTGATAAAACCAGGTACTAACTCTGACACGAACCACAATGTGGAAAAAAGATGGAAAAATAGTCCTATCGTGCCTAGAATGAGCGATGGAGTCCTCGTCGTCATTCTGGAAATTCTGTTACCAAATGAGGATTTCATTTAGATCGGATAATAAATGGAGATTACAGAACAGCGGTCATAAAAGATTGGAAGCAAAACGTAAAAAATTGCATGTCGCCTTCATTTAGTTTATTTGGAAAACAGAAGGGCAGCTAGAACTTGAAGGTTTTCTCAAAGGAGTGACTCAGTGGAAGGTTATAAATGTCCAAAGCAAATACTGATCTCTTTAGTCTCTTTACAAAAGATCATTATTCTGCATAGCATGGGGTCATTGCTGAAAATTGTTTCAGTTACAGATAAGGCAACACATTTTGTTCAGTAAGAAAAGTCATAGCAAACACCAAATACGGATGGACGTTATACAGGAATCTTCAAGGAGAGGAGTCACGATCAAGAATTCTACGTTGTGCTGGAGCTTTGATCCGTGTAGACGGTGTGCAATTGTAGAAGGGCGTGTCGAAGAATCAGATTCAAATAAAATAATAGTCTCAAACATCTCAGCTGAGCAGCAAGATGGAATACGAGGTTTCTTCGGCGTTTCCCTTGCGCAATAAACCCGTTCCATGTGTGACACGAAATGCATCCGGTACAAGTGAAGACGTCCTGAGCAGTGATCAGATAAAGATAAATGAACAGATTACTTACCATAGCCAAAAAACACCAACATCAAGGAACGGAACAGTTCTCTAGGAAGAGGAATGTCGAACAAAGGAAATCGTTTCCTACTTGTTCCTAAATTCGAGAGAAACCATAATAACAAGGAAGGAACTCCGATTTCGTTGGGCCAGAAAACCAGATTTAAAAATGTCTTCAAAAGAGTATTGGCTTCAGAGGCTTTAAAACTTCCTTCTGATGGAACAAGTACTTTTGTACAATGTTAAGAAAAATGTAGTAGAGCAAAACACTGACTATCCATGCCGAAGCTCAATGAAAGCCAGTACTAGCATTATTGTTCTGCTATGTGGTGTCTAATAGTGGTACAGGATGGATTGTCACCACAAAAATAATTTTGGTTGCTAATAGATGAAGGACCGTCCCGAGTCCTCGAGAACTGCCTGGTGAGGTCAAATCATTTCAGGTCGGCCAGAGGCTTGCAAAAAGGGTGATAGGTGACAAGGATATTTCATTTGTGCAATGCTGCACTCCACTCGACGCTACGGCTGCAAATGTCGACATCTCAAGAAGAAACAACTGCTGTGGACCGTTGACTCGAATCACCGTAGCTATGATGAAAGCCAAACTGCCTAAAACTTAGCTGTAACAAAGATTTTTTTACAACCTCGTGTAGATTTGTCAGTGAAGCAGGGAAAAAATTTATATCTTATCATAGTTTTTATTTTTTCTAGCAAACTGTACCCTGAAATTGAAACGCAAGGTTAAAGAACAATAGAGGTTTCCATAATAATTGCAATTAGACGTTCATCGTCAAAGTGCTCAACTGTTGTTTATGTGAAGAGTTATGAAGATGAGGACTAAGGGCACACAAATAAGTAGCCATCTAAAGAAGAAATACCGATGAATGTAGTATGAGGAAGGAAGATGATATACGCCTACTGGTTGTCCACTCTCACCTATCGCGCGTAATATTGCACGCTCGAAGACAACTTCTATTAGACCGGCGGCGAATTTTTCCCGTAATCGCTTTCTTTTTCTATGGTTTTCGATAGCAAAAAATATAACTACTCGGATAGTGGAGAGAAAAATAGCTGAGAGAAAGGCTAAAAGGCGGGCGGGGGGGCTTTCAATGAAAGGCTAAACGAAAGACCAGCATGGTGTGGTAGTGGACGAGTTAGTCCCAGGAAAGGGTAATAGCGTGTTCGATCCCGACTGCAGACAAGTGCGGTGTGGTGTTTTGCAAATATCTTAGCATCATTGTGGTTGTATTTCATATAAATACTTTGCCGCGAAAAACTGCAGTGGGCAGTAGATAAAAAGTTAACATAACTACTGAGCTTTGCCGATTCCTGAATATCAGATGACCCTAGCTCAATGGAGCTTCCAGTTTATTCGGAATCGCAGCAAGAAATAAATGACCGACCTGTTCTCAAAGCGTTGTCAGTTCAAGAAGATGTTATCCAATATCGGAGCAAAATAAAAAAATAACTAAATTACAAAGAAAATCCACATAAGAAATAGTACTGATGAAAAACAACCAGATTATCAAAGACTGGTTCATTGACTATTTGAACGTTCTTTTTGAAAGTTCTGGCAAAGTTTGTCGTAGACAGCTTACCTATTTCTAGCACTCAACTACTTAATTCTCAGCCAGTTGTCGGATAAGAAATTTCGGAATGGTGCGGTGAAATACAACTCACAGGTATGCCGCTTGTCTTTCAATGACTGGGGAACATTTCTGATCATCGTAGTGGTCACTGATACAACGGGATCACAAGAAATCAGTCGTGCAAGCTGTTTGCTAGCGCGCTTAGTGGCGCGGCGCCCTGTTTGGACAACGTAGCACACGACGCCTAGTGCGGCTATCACAATATCCACCCTTTAATGTCGTCCTATTCTCCGTTTTCGGCCAGACCTCAGTGACCTCTGACAATGACGTTCATGACGTCGTATCGCCACAAGAAATAGGGTACCCCACAAAAAAGTTAAATGAAAATGAAAAGCTCTCGAAAACCGCATTAGAACGCTTATATAGCAAAATATCAAAAACCAACTCTCCTTCTTCTTTGCCGGCCAGATTCATGTACAATAAAACATTGGTGAAATAAATAAAGACTACGAGAGAGCAGGATAATAATACAAATGGAGAGAGTGACTTACAGTGCCACTGGCTCATAGAGTGGAACTAAACGGATATAAGACAGTGGAGGAGACGACGTCGTATTTTATTCTGCAGAATGAACTCTGTCAATGCACAAGCTCTTTCATGATATATCTGGTCACGGATGAGTTTATTTGTTGATAGAATTCGTTCAAAAGAAGAACATATCATTGTAGATCAACAAATACACCAATAGAGGGAACGGAGTTAGAAAGTAATAGGAATAGTGGTTGTTTTAGCTCTTATCTCTAGGATAATGACGCTGCCTCAGAATATCCGTCAAGAGAAGGCTAGTGATAGCAAGGAGAATGCTGGAATTTGAAAAGTGGCAAGAGGCGTTAACCTGAAATCCATTGGTATTGAAAGACCGGCAGACAAATCTCTCAGCATCATCATCACCATCATCATCATCACATGAACCAACGTCAGCATTCTTAAATAATTCTTAGCAACTATCGAAACTGCAGCTGTCTTCAGTGAGATCAAGGATTTTTGTGCCCCACTGAGCGATTTACGACAAGTAGGAAATTTCATTTGACTGTGACATAATGGAAGACTATTTTGTATGGAACAATTCTTCTAGTTGCTTAATGTGAAGACTAATCTCCTCCAATGATCAACACGAGATAGACGACTCATTAATCTGTTCGCACACAAACAATCAGGAAGGTGAAAGTGGGTTTCATTCGTCATTCCACGTGAACAACACAGGGATGCTTTTGCACCCAACAAAACGGTGAACAGTTTTCTTCCAAACAAAATAGGGTTTATTTATATATCAACATCTTCATTAGTACTACAGATAGTTCACCGAATCATATGGATATCGTCACATAAAATACGTCCAGGCTCTGAAGAAGGAGTTGAAGTCCCGTTCTCCGACCTCAGCCATAGAATCACAAAAGCAACAACAATTGATGCCAACTCGCGTTACCTCAACAAGGGCAGTTAGCAAGAACATATATAAAAAGGATAAAGCTCTCGGCTTTGATCAATCCTTGAGGGATGCGCAATGCATTCGACTTCATTAAGCATCGTTTGGAGGTGATTGAATGCATTTCTGGCATTTACAATGACGCGAGGTGACCTACCGATGTACCGAGCGAGAGCGAGTGCTACTATTCTCCCAGACAAGTCTGGTACCAATTTGCCAACCCGAGAGATGGAAGGCTTGGTGGGCCAAAGGTGCAAAAGTGGATTCCACGTGTATGCTGCAAGGTGCCTCCGACCACTGCTCCACACGCGTCTACACGAGCAAAAACATATACATAAATATATATATATATCGATTATTTATGCCAAAGTTTATAGAATAGTCTCCCGAGTTATTCAGGAAAGAATTGCACTGACGTAATAGTTTGGCGCCGAATCTTTGCAGTGTTCTTCCATTTGTCCCTCATTCTCACCACTCAATAAGTTTGGTTCTGACAATAGTTTGCGTTTCATTGGTTATGATGTATATTTGGCTTTTTAAATTATCCTTGACTGGTCGGTCAAAAATCTCAGGACTCGCTGTCACTATGAAAGCATCTAGGTCTCACGACAGCAAAGCTTCTTCCGAGGAACAAGTGATGACAAGACCTTGCGCGCCCGCAAGTCTACCTTCTGAGAATCATCACAAGAATTCAACTTACTAGCGGGGAAAGAGGATTATGGATGTTCAAGCAGCAAACGAACCTACAGGCGAATCCGGCCTCCTTCGAGGATTATAATTGCACGACAAACAAGTGAATGGAAGGGATTTTGGGACGCATGGTCATGTCGAGAAAGGTCGCCTGGGATCTAATACATATACATGTGCATATATATATGTCATTAAAAAATAAAAGAAAATCAGTGAAACAGAATGAAATTAGGAAATGAGGTAAAATTGGGAGATGAAAAATGAATCAGGCAAACAAAACAAAAGATAAGTAACAAAACACACTAAAATGAAAACAAAAGTAAAATGATTAACAAAGTGGTGGGATAAAAAATAGGAACAAACTGAGAGGATAAACATGAGCATGTGTAATATTTTTGGTGTAAAGCTGTGGATGTCCTTCACTGGAAGCCTGGCTACCTACCTCTGGGAATTACGGACCAAAAAGAGCGAAAACCGAGTGCTTAATTCCTCTCAACTTAAAAGATACACCATTAACACGAAGCAGAAGTTAAAATGTGGAACTCTAGGCTGCTTACGTCTGGAAGGACTCTAGTGACGATTTTTGCCTATAATGTAAGAACAGTACTATCAGAATACTCTATTGAATAGCTGGAACGAAGTA